ACTACTGACCTATGCACTGCTTACCACTGAATCCCGGCACTCTTCATTACTTACTACTGACCTCCGCCCGCGACTGCTTACCACTGACCCCCACTGTCACTCTTCATTTACTTACTACTGACCTCCGCACTGATTTACCACTGATCCCTGCACTCTTCGATACTTACTACTGGACCTCTGCACTGATTACCACTGATCCCTGCACTCTTCATTACTTACTACTGACCTCTGCACTCTTCATTATTTACTACTGACCTCTGCACTCACTCTTCATTACTTACTACTGACCTCTGCACTGACTTACACTGATCCCTGCACTCTTCATTACTTACTACTGACCTCCGCACTGCTTACCACTGATCCCTGCACTCTTCATTACTTACTACTGACCTCTGCACTGCTTACCCACTGATCCCTTCATTACTTTACTACTGACCTCTGCACTCTTCATTATTTACTACTGACCTCTGCACTGCTTACCACTGATCCCTGCACTCTTCATTACTTACTACTGACCTCTGCACTGCTTACCACTGATCCCTGCACTCTTCATTACTTACTACTGACCTCCGCACTGCTTAGCACTGATCCCTGCACTCTTCATTACTTACTACTGACCTCTGCACTCTTCATTATTTACTACTGACCTCTGCACTCTTCATTATTTACTACTGACCTCTGCACTGCTTAGCACTGATCCCTGCACTCTTCATTACTTACTACTGACCTCTGCACTGCTTACCACTGATCCCTGCACTCTTCATTACTTACTACTGACCTCCGCACTGCTTACCACTGATCCCTGCACTCTTCATTACTTACTACTGACCTCTGCACTGCTTACCACTGATCCCTGCACTCTTCATTACTTACTACTGACCTCTGCACTCTTCATTATTTACTACTGACCTCTGCACTGCTTACCACTGATCCCTGCACTCTTCATTACTTACTACTGACCTCTGCACTGCTTACCACTGATCCCTGCACTCTTCATTACTTACTACTGACCTCTGCACTGCTTAGCACTGATCCCCTGCACTCTTCATTACTTACTACTGACCTCTGCACTGCTTACCACTGATCCCTGCACTCTTCATTACTTACTACTGACCTCTGCACTGCTTAGCACTGATCCCTGCACTCTTCATTATTTACTACTGACCTCCGCACTGCTTAGCACTGATCCCTGCACTCGGTGTACTCACTTCTGTGAGATACTGCATGCAGGTTGTGTTTGAGCCGTTTCTGCATTGCGTTTTGCACTCACATTTTTTATTTTGTTTTGCGTTTGTTTGTTTTCATTCTTTTAAAATGTTCTTGTTGCTAGGCAGATTTTAAAATGCAAAACGCATTAAAATAACGCAGCAAAAATGCATGTAATTGTCAGTTAAAGTAACGCAGTGCCGTAGCGCAAAAAATGGCCTGGTAAGGAAGGGGGGGGGGGGAATCCTCTGAGGGTGAGGGGTTAATTGAACAAGCTGAACTTAGAAGCCGATCGGCTCCCATGCACAGCTGCACCAGATTCTGCACCCTTCGGTTTTAGTAAATCTCCCCCAGAGAGCAGCAAGACGTTCTGATCCCCATCCAAAACTAAAAAAAACCCCCAAAAAAAACCAAAAAAAAAAACCAAGGTTTTGTCTGCAGTCTTTAGGACTTTCTGACAATATGAGGAATTTTCTGGAAAATAAACAAAACGGCCCGTCTGAGGGAGCTGGATGTGAACGGAAATTGCGCTGACCTTTCTGCTATTGTGAAATGAGATCCAATCCCCCCCGCAGGAGATATTTGATGAAATAGACCCTGGAAATCCTCCGCACGGGAGGGGGTCCCTGTCATCCTCCTCCAGCCTGCAATAACCGGAGATTTACCGCCTGGACGCAGGAGGAAACATTCCGTTAAATATTTCAGAAAAGAAGGAGAACGGTTCAGACCCAGCGAGTGCCGTCCGCTACAGACATGGAAGAAAAATATATTTGAAATACATTTTAAAAATATTCTTCCCAAATATATTGACATATATTTGAAATGCTACAATTTTGGCCATAGTCAATATATTTCAATATATATATATATATACACACACACTGTATGTCGAAATGCGTTTTTATTACAAAATATATGAAAAATATTTTTAAAAATACATTTCAAATATACTGCATGTCTTTAACCGCCTCCCACCCGCCATATAGTAATATGTCAGACGCAAGGCGGTCCTCTTGTTCTGGGAGGACGTCATATGACGTCCTCCCATTCTAACTGCGCATTCGCGGCTCCTGGAGCGCGTAGCGCGACGATCGGTTGTGCGCTGTGTCCCTCGGACACAGTGGATCACCGATCAGGGAAAGGGTCAAAGATGTCGGCTCGGTCATGTGATCAGCTGTGTCCAATCACAGCTGATCACATGTAAATAGGGAAATGCCGCTTATCGGCATTTCTCCCCTCACGAGTTGTCATGCTGACAGAGGAGAGGAGAGCCGGTAATCAGCATTCCTCGGAGGGGACATGTACACTGATCATCAGGGCACTGATGATCAGTGTGTCCTGATGATCTGTGTAGCCCCAACAGTGCAACCTGTCAGTGTCCATCAGTGCCAGCTCTCAGTGCTCATCCATGCCACCTGCCAGTGCCACATCAATGCCACATATCAGTGCCCATCTGAGCTGCCTTTCAGTGTCACCCATCAATGCCAGTCAGTGCCACCTATCAGTGCTGCCAATTAGTGCCACCTATCAGTGCCAGTCAGTGCCACCTATCAGTGTCGCCTATCAGTGTGCATCAGTGCCCGTCAGTGCTGTCTATCAGTGCCACCTATCAATGCCTCCTATCAGTGCCATATATAACTGCTGCCTTTCAGTGCCCACCAGTGATGCCTGTCAATGCCCATCAGTGCCACCTACCAGTGCCTCCTCATCAGTGCCCATCAGTGCCACCTATCAGTGTCCATCAGTGCAGCCTATCAGTGCCCATCACTGCAGCCTCATTAGCGCACATCAGTGAAGGAGAAAAATCACTTATTTACAAACTTTTATAACAAAAACTAAAAAAAACCTTTTTTTTCAGAATTTTCAGTAGTTTTTGGTTTGTTTAAGAGAAAATAAAAAACCCCGAGGTGATTAAATACCACCAAAAAAAAGCTCTATCTGTTACAAAAAAATGACAAAAATTTCATATGGGTACAGTGTTGCATGACCGTGCAATTGTCATTCAAAGTGCAATAGCGCTGAAAGCTGGAAATTGGCCTGGGCAGGAAGGGGGTAGAAGTGGCCTGTAGGCGAGGGGTTAAAAATACAAATCTACATTTTTGGAATGCAGTTACAAATATATGTAAAAATATATGTTAAAATGACTTTTTTATATGTTAAAAAAACATGAAGAATATATTTAAAAATATATATATTTTTTACAAATTTTTTTTAACTATATTCTTCAGATTTTGTTTAACATATAAAAAAGTCATTTTAACATATATTTTTACATATATTTGTAACTGCATTCCAAAAATGTAGATTTGTATTTTTTAAAGACATGCAGTATATTTGAAATGTACTTTTAAAACAATTTTTCATATATTTCATATATTTCAACATGCAGTGTATATATTTCAATAAATATATATATATATTTATTGAAATATATTTTGAAGTATATTGAATACGGCCAAAATTGTAGCATTTCAAATATATGTCAATATATTTGGGAATAATATTTTTAAAATATATTTCAAATATATTTTTCTTCCATGTGGGTAATTTCATCCATTCTCCCCAAAACCGCTGCTCCGCCTATCTGCTTTCATGCTTTTCTGCTTCGAATTTTAATATGATTTGTAATTAATATTTATTGAAGGTTTTCACAAATTAACCTCTTCCCAACCAGCCCATGTAGATAAACGGCGGGAGCGCTGCCGAAGCGGATTGACGTTTCTAAACGTCACCCCACATTAACCATTAGCCGCCCGGCCAATGGGCGCATGGCGGCGTGCAAAATCCATTAGCGTTCCAGGTAGACGCCATATGGCGTCCTCCCAGGCATGCGCAGTGTGCGTGCCTGCAGAGCCGCAATGTTACTATGGTAACATTATACTACTTTGGTCATAGTGAAATATGAAAAAAAATCGTAAAAAAAAGAAAAAAAATGTAATAAAAAAATTACAAATAATAATAAAAAAAAAAAAAATTATATATATTTTTTTCCATACTGTCACCAGTCAGTGTCCCTGATCACCGCCATGCCAGTTATATGAAGAGCCTGTACTGCACTGGCGACAATATGTAAAAAAAAAATTGTGAAAATTATTTCTTCACTTTCCGAAAAATTATGACAAAAAAATACAACTTCAAGAAACTCGCCATTCCTCTTATGAAGTACGTCGGACTGTCTATGCTGCAAAAAGGGGTAATTTGGAAGATATCTGTACTGTTCTGACATTTGGGGGATATCTGTACTGTTCTGACATTTGGGGGATATCTGTACCGTCCTGACATTTGGGGGATATCTGTACTGTCCTGACATTTGGGGGGATATCTGTACTGTCCTGACATTTGGGGGGATATCTGTACTGTTCTGACATTTGGGGGATATCTGTCCTGTCCTGACATTTGGGGGGGATATCTGTACTGTCCTGACATTTGGGGGATATCTGTACCGTCCTGACATTTGGGGGATATCTGTACCGTCCTGACATTTGGGGGGATATCTGTACTGTCCTGACATTTGGGGGGATATCTGTACTGTTCTGACATTTGGGGGATATCTGTCCTGTCCTGACATTTGGGGGGGATATCTGTACTGTCCTGACATTTGGGGGATATCTGTCCTGTCCTGACATTTGGGGGATATCTGTACTGTCCTGACATTTGGGGGATATCTGTACTGTCCTGACATTCTTGGACCTCAAGAAATTAGATTGGCTGTCAGTACTTCAGGATTGATCAATATTCAGATCTATACCATAGTTTGTGAACTCTATAACTTTCCTACAGACTAAATAATACATCCTAATTTGGGTTATTTTCACCAAAGACATGTAGCAGAATACATCTCGGCCTAAATTTATGAAGAACAATTATTTATTTGCAAACTTTTATAACAGAAACAAAGAAAAATGTGTTTTTTTTTTTTTCAAAATGTTCGGCCTTTTTTTGTTAATTTAGCAAAAAATAAAAACCCCAGCGGTTATTAAATACCACCAAAAGAAAGCTCTAGTTGTGTGAAGAAAATGATAAAATTTTAGTTTGGGTACAATGTTGTATGACCGCGCAATTTTCATTCAAATTGTGAGAGCGCTGAGACCTGAAAAATGGCCTGGGCAGGAAGGGGGTAAAAGTGTCCGGTATGGAAACGATTAATTGCCTGTGCGCGCTCCCTGGGACAATGCGGAACACAGATCGTCGGACGGGACCTCTGTGTGAGGTCACAATTGATGTGATCACTGATTGGCCAATCAGTGATCACATAAACAGTAGTAAACAAGATGACATCATTGCTTACTACGTGTGAAATCTGTGAATGATCACAGAGATCACATGGTACAGGGCTATTCACAACAGCCTTGTACCATGTGACAAGCTGTGACCAATCACAGCTCTCACAGTATTTCTCAATGGCTGAAAGAATGCAGCCAAAGAGGAGAAGAAATGATTGTACAGCCTTTATGGGTGTAAAAGGAATCAGTGTAAAAAAAAAAATCTTCATCACTATTCCTCCCACTGACACCAATGATGGGGCACTATTCCTCCCACTGACACCAATGATGGGGCACTATTCCTCCCACTGACACCAATGATGGGGCACTATTCCTCCCACTGACACCAATGATGGGGCACTATTCCCCCCACTGATACCAATGATGGGGCACTATTCCTCCCACTGATACCAATGATGGGGCACTATTCCTCCCACTGACACCAATGATGGGGCACTATTCCTCCCACTGATACCAATGATGGGGCACTATTCCTCCCACCGACACCATTGATGGGGCACTATTCCTCCCACTGACACCAATGATGGGGCACTATTCCTCCCACTGACACCAATGATGGGGCACTATTCCCCCCACTGATACCAATGATGGGGCACTATTCCTCCCACTGATACCAATGATGGGGCACTATTCCTCCCACTGACACCAATGATGGGGCACTATTCCTCCCACTGATACCAATGATGGGGTACTATTCCTCCCACTGACACCAATGATGGGGCACTATTCCCCCCACTGATACTAATGATGGGGCACTATTCCTCCCACTGACACCAATGATGTGGCACTATTTCTCCCACTGATACCAATGATGGGGCACTATTCCTCCCACTGACACCAATGATGGGGCACTATTCCTCCCACTGATACCAATGATGGGGCACTATTCCTCCCACTGATACCAATGATGGGGCACTATTCCTCCCACTGACACCAATGATGGGGCACTATTCCTCCCACTAATACCAATGATGGGGCACTATTCCTCCCACTGATACCAATGATGGGGCAGTATTCCTCCCCCTGACACCAATGATGGGGCACTATTCCTTCCAATGACACGAATGATGGGGCACTATTCCTCCCACTGATACCAATGATGGGACACTATTCCTCCCACTGACACCAATGATGGGACTCTATTCCTCCCACTGACACCAATGATGGAGCACTACTATTCCTCCCACTGACACCAATGAAGGGGCACTATTCCTCCCACTGACACCAATGAAGGGGCACTATTCCTACTTCCACTGACTACAAGCACTATGTCATTTTTTTTCACTCCTACTGCGCTGGGACATTTTCTACTCCCACTGGGCACTCTGACCCTCCTAAAGTCTGAAGGACAGTAAACCAGTCCTTTTTTAGAAAGTTTGGAGACCCCTGTCCTAGAGGACCCCTAAAATAATTTTCAGGTCTCTAGGAACCCCTGCGTAAACCAATCCAAAAACAGAGGGCGGAGGGAAGAACCCCCCCTTATGTTGGTGACCCCTGATTATTCCAAATCATCCATTGACCCCTGAGCATCCTGTGTCATTCATTGACCCCTGACCATCCCATGTCATCCATTGACCCCTGACCATCCCATGTCATCCAGTGACCCCTTAACATCCTATGTTATCCATTGAGCCCTGAGCATCCTGTGTCATCCAGTGACCCCTGAACATCCCATGTCATCCACAGACCCCTGATCATCCCATGTCATCCATTGACCCCTGAGCATTCCATGTCATCCAGTGACCCCTGATCATCCCATGTCATCTAGTGACCCCTGAGCATCCTGTGTCATCCAGTGACCCCTGAGCATTCCATGTCATCTAGTGACCCCTGAGCATCCCGTGTCATCCAGTGATCCCTGATCATCCCATGTCATCCAGTGACCCCTGATAATCCCATGTCATCCAGTGATCCCTGATCATCCCATATCATCTACTGACCCCTGATAATCCTATGTCATCCACTGACCCCTGATCATCCCATGTCATCCACTGACCCCTGATCATCCCATGTCATCCACTGACCCCTGATCATTCCATGTCATCCATTGACCCCTGATAATCCCATGTCATCCAGTGACCTCTGATCATCCCATGTCATCCACTGACCCCTGATCATTCCATGTCATCCACTGACCTCTGATCATCCCATGTCATCCACTGACCCCTGATAATCCCATGTCATCCAGTGACCTCTGATCATCCTATGTCATCCATTGACCCCTGAGCATCCCATGTCATCCATTGACCCCTGAGCATCCCATGTCATCCACAAACCCCTGATCATCCCATATCATCCATTGACCCCTGATCATCCCATGTCATCCACTGACCCCTGAGCATTCCATGTCATCTAGTGACCCCTGAGCATCCTGTGTCATCCAGTGACTCCTGAGCATCCTGTGTCATCCAGTGATCCCTGATCATCCCATGTCATCCAGTGACCCCTGATAATCCCATGTCATCCAGTTATCCCTGATCATCCCATGTCATCTACTGACCCCTGATAATCCTATGTCATCCACTGACCCCTGATCATCCCATGTCATCCACTGACCCCTGATCATCCCATGTCATC